AAAAAAAACAAACACAAAAACAGGCATCAAAAATACTAAGTTGACTGCTGTCAAGTCAAACCCAACTCATAGTGACCCTCCCTTGGGTTTCTGAGGCTAAAAATCTTTATGGGAGGAGACTGCCTATCTTTCCGCATGGAATGCCTGGTGGATTTGAACTTTCAATCTTTTTGACAGTAGCCTGACATGTTATTCCCTACGATACAGGATCTCTTTCACTGGCCTATGAAGACAAACATGTATTCTGTGATACTTCATTATATCATATAAACTTGAATAATAAGTAACCTTCTGCACACATAGGAGTAGCACACACTGTAGCTTCTGAATGTCTTTGTACTAACTTTTACAAATTCCTAAAAGAAAGCGCAAAAAAGCAAAATTTAAAGAGTATTTTTCCCCCTTTATTTCTACCTCTTCATCAAGGCTGTGATTTACTGTGATCAAGGCACACAAGGTGAAATTTTAAAACAGTAGCACATGTGTCTGTAGTAGTGCAGAGGCACACATTCTTTGAAATAAAAACAGTAAGCAAAAGCTGTTTCGAGTTTGGCTATCCTCAAATACAGTCAAGGAGTAATTTCTTTGTCAAGAGAGGAAAGAAAGTGACTTTAATAGTTTAGTGAACTCCATTAGGATTTATCTACCAATTGAGTGGATTTAGTTACTGAAGTTACCAAGAAGAAGTAACAAGAAACAATTTTATAACCATTTTCTTTTTTGGGATGAGGGCAGAGAAAAGAAAATGGAATTAATAGAGAGGTCAAAGCCCGATGTCAAAGCCTCTAACATCCCAGCAGCACGTCATTCGACCCTTCCAGGGCTCGATGCATCTACATGATGCACTGGGACCTGGAAGACTGCCACTGAGCCACCTTCCAGATCTTCTGTTGCCCTGGGTATGTGATACACTTCAGCACAATGGGTAATCCAGCTATTCTTGTTCACCCAGAGGGACATATGTGATTCACAGCCAAGTCCACCTCTGAAATTGTCCAACACTTCTCAAATACTCTTTAATTTTCAGCCAGCCACATATGGACTATGAGACTGGTCTGACAGAGCCAATGCAGGGCTGTCCCTTAGCCAGTTGGCAGCAGGTGGGGCTACAATCTGTGGCAATGAAGACTGCACTTCAGTGAACAGGCACATTCCCCAGACATGACTCCTTGGAGCCAACTGAGGCCTCGGCCCCAGCACCAGATGCTCTTTTATGCCAACCGCCAACTGCAGCCAAAGGAGACCAGCATCCAGGGCAGTGGATGCAAAGCACTAATTTTATTCCTGTTTTTGTAACTCATTTTGGCTGTTCTCTAGGTATCATATCCAATGTCTAGCCTTTATGAAAGACCACATGTTATCTTTTAAGTAACCTATGCATTTTAAACATTGCAAGCTAAGCACAAAACAAAAATGAGCATTAAAACTTGACTATTAATGCATGCATCCCATTTGAAGTGAAACAGCATTAACTAAATAGCCATGAAAGGTTTCTCCTTTAAAGAGAGACACAGGATTTTCTCTTACCCGCCCATTTTGCAGTCTCCAGTTCCACCTTTCCAGGCTCTTACATACTTCGGATTGGCCCACAGGGTCACTGGATTAAAGGTTCCAGAGGAAAAATAGGGTCCTACTGGACTCAAGATTACAAAAAGTAGGGCTTTGGATGGCTTCTTGACTCCAAGGGAAGGCTGCAATCAAGTAAAAGTAAGCACAAATATAATTTAAAATGTAGACACCAGTCTTCAAGTTTAGAATAAGTTTTAACGAAATTCCAGAAGGGGTGTACTAATAATCTAAAGTTCAGGACACAATGCCTAATAGTTTTACAAAAAGAAAACAATGTGTACAGAGTCCTTAAGCAGTTTTTTGCTTTGCTTTCTGAGTTGTTGGAAGAAATCAAATTTGTAATCTCTCTTCCCCTGGTTAGTAGAGTTTTAAAGTAAAGGATATACACATATTTAACAACTAGTTTAGGAAGCTGAATATCAAATTTAATATTAATAATAAACCAAATGCTATATCAGGATATAAGGGGGGCATAATACAAACTGGAGTTCACCCTGAGGCACTAAGGCTTTCCTTAAGAGTCAACATTGTTCTTAGTTTGTATTTACTGAATCTGTCCCTCCTGAGATTAGCATAAGGTAAACAATAGAGAACACTAACTTACCTGCAAAAGATTTCCCCATGATCCTTTATTTTAGTTTTCTACTCCCTTGTGATTATCCTTTGTTTACCTTCCTGATGATTCCCAATAAATACACAGAGAGGCATGGCTTGGGCGCTTTGGTCATCAGAACTGCAGGCCCCCTGTTTTTACTCTCTCATCTCATTCCTGGTTGTCTGTTTCATATTACTTTACCTTCGGTCTACAACAAACTAGTCATATAACATCTTCCCCCAACCCCTCAATGTTCATTGTAGCTTTATTTGTGTTGTTGTTGTT